CACTCATATGTGGAATGTAAGAAACAAAACAGATGAACACAGGGGAAGGGAAGGAAAAATATAGTAAGATGAGAACAGAGAGGGAGACAAACCGTAAGAGATGCCAAACTCCAGGAAACAAAGTGAGGGCTGCTGGAGGGGAGGGGTGTGGGGAAGGGGTAATCGGATGATGGGCAGTAAAGGGGGGCAAGTGATGGAATGAGCACTGGATGTTGTGTGCAACTGATGAATCATCAAGTTCTACCTGAATTTTTTATTAGTTTTTTATTATTTAAAAGAAAGTATATATTCTCATCAAAGTTAGGGCACCCAGCTCCCCGTGAACCCTTTTTGCCTCTGCCCCTCAACAAAACCACTGGGGTTTCCGTTTTTTTTTTAAGATTTTTATTTATTTATTTGTGTGTTTAAGGAAGAACACAAGCGGGGGGAGTGGGTGATGAAGGCTCCCTGCTGAGCAGGGACCCACACCCATCCCCACCACTCATATGTGGAATGTAAGAAACAAAACAGATGAACACAGGGGAAGGGAAGGAAAAATATAGTAAGATGAGAACAGAGAGGGAGACAAACCGTAAGAGATGCCAAACTCCAGGAAACAAAGTGAGGGCTGCTGGAGGGGAGGGGTGTGGGGAAGGGGTAATCGGATGATGGGCAGTAAAGGGGGGCAAGTGATGGAATGAGCACTGGATGTTGTGTGCAACTGATGAATCATCAAGTTCTACCTGAATTTTTTATTAGTTTTTTATTATTTAAAAGAAAGTATATATTCTCATCAAAGTTAGGGCACCCAGCTCCCCGTGAACCCTTTTTGCCTCTGCCCCTCAACAAAACCACTGGGGTTTCCGTTTTTTTTTTAAGATTTTTATTTATTTATTTGTGTGTTTAAGGAAGAACACAAGCGGGGGGAGTGGGTGATGAAGGCTCCCTGCTGAGCAGGGACCCACACCCATCCCCACCCCCCCCAGCCAATGTGGGGCTCAATCTCAGGACCCTGGGACCATGACCTGAGCCGAAGGCAGGCACCTAACCAACTGAGCCACCCAGGCACCCCACCACTGAGGTTTCCAAGGCCCCCTGATGATCCCCCTCAGTCTGATCTTGCTCCCAGGCAACAGAACCCAGACCCAGCACCCCGCCGAGATGTAGGACTCAAAAGGCACTACCTACAATTTCTGAGAAACACTTTGGGAAGGCACTGATGTCACCAAGGTGGAAAATACTGTCCTAAAATGTTAGCAGCGTGACCTTTCACATATCGGGATTCTCCACACCCCCTGTCCTCCTCAGGGCAGTGGGAGAGGCAGTTCCGAGGAACTGGCAGAAGTTCTGGCAGAAGTGAGGAGAAGGTTTATGGGTTTCCAAGGCCTGGGTCTTCAACAAACAGGTAGTGACAGAGAACAAATCAGTGGTTGCCAGTGGGTGGGGGGAGAGTGTGACAATAAAAGGGCAGCGTGGGGGTATGTGGGGCGTGATGGAACCCTTCTATATCCTGATTATTATGACAGCTACGTGAAACTATACGCATATTAAGTCACAGAACTACACATCAAAGGGGGAAAAGCCAATTTTCCTAGATCAATTTTTTTTTAAACCTGGGTTTTTTCATTTCAAAACTCAGAGCATAAATTAGCATATATATGAATTGAAGCAAGATTTCTTGCTCCCAAAACTAGAACATTCTCCATGTTAGACTGAGGGAGTGTGCAAGTCCAAGAGACACTGAAGAGAACATAGTTCTAGTGGATTCTAAAAAGTGTCCGGTGCCCTTGCTACTCCCCAGGCAAAACTTGGCAGGAGAGGAGGGACATCAGAAATCCCAAGTCGGTGTACTGGATTCATGAATGGAGGGCACCTGTGCCCATGTCCCCTACCAGAGCCACAAGAGGTGACAAGACCCCAGGGAGAGAATGTTAACTGGAGGGTCTAGGTAGGTCCAGGGAGATGGGCTGGGGTGGACCCCCACAGTGCTGCCTGAGGCTCAAAGGAATTTAGAAACAGCAGAACAATTCTGAGTATCAAACAGGGAGTAAGAAGTAAATGTTAAATCTAAGGGAGCCTTTTGGACAGGAAGGAAGCACACTGTCTTGGCAATAAAGAGGGGGCCAGACGGCATGGGGAAGTCTCTCCATTTCCAGCCAAAATAGTGATAGAGCAGCCTCCTTTAGATGCTTTAATACCAATGAAGCCCTTGGGACAGAATTAAAACCCCAGAGAAAAGCGGGGAAGCTTCTGCTACCCAGCAAACTGGTATTTGAAATGGTAACTAAGCTACAGATACATGAGAAAGAAAAACATAGACACTTAAGATTATGAACCAAGATTCACACCTGCTCCCAGACCTCATCCCGCCACAGCCCAGACAGGTAGATAGCATCCTCCCGTTGTGCAGATGGAGAAACTGAAGTTCAAGGGATTAGCTCTACTTGCCCGGGTCACGGGATCTGAATCAGGGCGATTCAGATTGGCCATCCCTTGACCCATCCCCTCTCTGCCATAATACATGAGCACTGGCTTCAAACCAGTGGCTGTTGACTGTCCAGAAATTAGCGGCACGAACTTTAATCAGTCCCTCGACGTACTGACCTCAGTTTCCCCACAAAGATAGTAACAATCTGAGCCAACCCACGAGAGTTGTACCAAGAGAACAAAAAATGAGACCCCCCTGAGGATGGCTGACGACACACAAGCTAGAGTCTAGAGAGTCTAGAGAGTGATTCAATGGGTAAGTGAGTTCAGAGCCATGGCACAAGCCCGTTGAAGACACCAGCCAGGCTCTGCCAGGAAGGAAAGCAGTTCCAGGGAGTTCCTGGCACGAGGGAGGGCAGCGTGGCTCACTGATTACACGGGCATAAGACACAGAGGTGAGTCCTGACTCCACCATTCACTTCCTGTGCATCCCTGGGAAGATGTCCGCCTCTCTGAACCTCAGTCTTCTCATCTGATCTTTGGGGGGCCACAATAGCAGCCCCTCCTGACAAGGATGAGGTTCAGGTAGGGAGAGCACCTGGCATGTAGTAGGCGCTCAATAAATATGCACCTCCTGCTCCTCTTCCTGCTTTTACTCATAAGGTGTTAGGTTTAGCTGCTCTCTCCAGGCTCAGATCTTGACCTCTCTGTGTCTCAATGGTTTCATCTGCAAAATGGATTCAAAGGCCCCAGAGTGGGACAAATGGCTCATTAATTACTTCACTTAGGGAAGGGAAGAAGGAAGGGTAAAGGTAGAGACCAGGATGCCATAGCATCCTTCTGGCCTGGCAACCTGCACAAATTTTGCCAGGGTATAAATGTGAAATTTCATGGGATCATGACATGCAGGAAAGCAAAATTGGCAATGAGTGTACAGAAGGTGTCTTCACGTCCCGGCACAGTGATTCACATGCAGTGTGAAGGCCTTGGCCTTGGCCCCAGGCCTACTGTGCGCACCTGGATGTGTCTACTTGCACCACAAGCCTCAGTTTTCCCCTTGTAAAAGAGGGGTGCTCGTTCCCAGCCCACACCCCTGGGAGGATTCCTGAGAATGCCATCTGTGGAAAGCAAAGCCGGGCCGGCATTCGGCAAGAGCTCAGTAAGTGTTGGCCGTTGACAATGTTTCACTGTGATTGTCCGACATGAGAAGTTCCTGCCCCATCCTGTGTCTTTGGGCATTCACCCCGCTGTGCCTCTGGGTCCTGCTCAGCAATTCCTCCCACCCAGGGTTCTGACGAGGATGGGCAACCCCCTGCAAGTGACTGTCCTGCAAGATACCCCCGATGTAGGAAAGTCAGTGGCAGTCTGAATCTTGGGAGCCAGAATCCTCCAAATGGAGAAAAAGAACTGGACCAGGGATAGTAAAGAGCCTCAGTACGAGACCAAGGCCCATTCCCAGGCTCCTGAGAGCCGCCTCTCCCCGTATGCTGAACATGATCTACGAGGCCGCCTCGGAGCATGGGCCCCCCGCCTCAGCCGGGCTCAGGAAACCATGAAGTCTTGAGTAACATCCCCATCTCAAGTTTTTCTCTGTTTACCTTGTCCATCAAGTGGCTTACTGTCCCACCTACTAATGTGATTGGCAATTATTTACTTTGGAGAGCCCTGAAAGACACCAGATCGCAGAATTCTGAATTATCTGGAAACCCATCACCCGATCGCACATTTCCTGATCTGCACACTATAAAAGACGCTAGCTCCTCAGCAGAAGCAATCAGGAGAGGGTGGAGGTGTGCAAGAGACCCACCAGGACCTCTGAGAAGCCCGGGTGAGACTGCCTGTCCCGTGCCTGCTCCGCTGCCCCGGGTGGTAGGGCTGCTGAGCTTGTTGCTTCGGGGTGGGCACATTTAGGATCGCTCATTGGGGGTCTTTTTCAGACGAATTTTTGGGGGAATGGGAAAGGTCATTCACTCCACCTCCCTGAAAGATCAGTGCTGTGGATATAAGGTTTAAATGTAGAAATGTAGAAAAGGGGATTTCATGGGGATGGGGAGCATGTGGTGGCAGGTGCAGACTGCCAAGATCCCATGTTAGGGTTTTCTCGTGAGCATGCTCTTCGTACCCTAAACCCCAGCCTCTACGGCAGGAGTTTTAACTTGAGGTTGCCATTGTGGATTCAGACGATCATCCACAAACCTCCTAAAATCCACCCCGTTTTGTACATTTTGACGCATTTTTCTGGGAGAGGGTCCTTAGCTTCCACTGCACTCATAAAAGATCTGTTTCCGAAAGGAGATTCAGAGAACACGGTCTAAGTTTACCTTCCAGGGAGGCCACAACTGGCTCTTTGTACCAAAAAGCCCTTTTGATTCCAGCCAGCCACAGCAATGACAGTGGGGCTTTGGCTGAACCAGCCAGTTGATGGAATTTTGCCCAAAGAAGCTTTCAGCACCTTTGCTGGCTGCCTAATAGGCCTAGGAGAGGGTTGGTGACACCTGGGAGGGAACAGTGCAAAAGACTGCCAGATGTCAGAGGTTGCCCCCAAATTTTGTTCAGGTTAGTTTGAGGGAGAAGAGAAAGGTATAGAAAAGACAGCGTGCATGTCTGGAGGGGTCAGAGACTTATCTCCAACAACTCTGCCATCACGTTGCTGTATGACCTTGGGAAAGTCACTACGCCTCTGTGGCTCCCTGATTCTCCTTATGCAATGAGGACTTTGAATGGCCCCAGGATTTCTCCAGCATTGGTCTGGATGAGATGGTGGCTATGGCCATCTGACCTCTAATATTCTGTGATTTAAAAGGGCTTCCACAAACCATCACAAGCTAGACCCAGGCCAAAAGACTTGATGGGGAAAATGGCCAGCCAGTTCTGTCCCTCAGCCTTTTCATTTGCTTTGTCTGAAGAGTGAAAACTAGCAGCAATGATTCAGGCCATCACAAGCAAGTCCAGATGAATGGAGAATAGATGTGATGGTGACTTCATTTAAACAGAGGCCTCTGGGTCAGACAGATCTAGCTTCAGATGCTATCCCGACTGTGTGCTTACAATCTTGGGGAAAGTCCCCTAAACTCTCTAGACTGCCCTTTCTCATCTGTGCAGTGCAGGTGATGAGTGCCCACATCTTAGGGGGCAGTTACAGCGAAATCAGTTACTGAGCATGGAGTGCTCAGCCTGATGCCTGCCCAGGGGAAATGCTGACCAGCGTCAGCTATTGCCGTTCACTCCCTGGAGTTCTGGAAGTTGGGGGCAGATGGTGGATGAATTCCCCTCTGACAGCCGTGCTACGCTGGACCCACCATTCTGTCCACAGATACCAAGAGAGATGTTTCAAATTGGGGGCCTCATTGTCTTCTGTGGGCTGCTGGCCCAGACCACAGCCCTGCTGGACACCCTGCCCTTGCCCCTGGATCCGACCCTGCTTTTGGAGGGGACTCCAGCCCAGGACCTAAGTCCCATAGGTCTTGCTGGAAGCTTAACAGATGGTAAGTGAGAATCTGTGACAACCTCTTTCAGGGATGTGTGTCTGTCCAACTGTTCAGTGTGGGGAGGGAGGCAGGGATGATTGGGGGAGAGGGGTTTTATCAGAATTACCAGATTTGACCCCAAAGGATCCACCCCTACACCCATTTTTAGCCCTCAGCACTGGCCTGCTCTCTGAGGGTCTGTTGGGCATTCTCGAAAACCTTCCACTCTTGAACATCCTGAAGACTGGAGGAGGCACTTCTGGTGGCCTGCTGGGGGGCCTGCTTGGGAAAGTGACTTCAGTTGTCCCCCTCCTGAACAAAATCATTGAGTGAGTAGTCATAGGCCTTGGTCGCCACCCCACCAGAGAATCTCTGATGGAGATCTGGGAGCCCCAAACAGTGGACCTGGAGGAGGGAGAGGGGTGGTCTGATCAAGAGGCCAGGACTCAGTGTGAGACCCTTCCCACAGCCTAGCAAGGAACACCAATGCTCCCAAACCAGTGACTGCCCCCAGTCCTGAAGCCTATCTTGGGTCCCCAGCATCATCTATAATCTTCATGACAACCCTTTAAGGTATAATTAATAATCTCCAATTTACAGATGGCAAACTGAAGCACAGAACAGTGCCTGTGCTCATACAACTAAAGCAACACAGAACCAGGGACCAAACTCTAATTTACTTAAGTCCAAAGCCAAGGCCTTTCCACTGCACCGTGGTAATTCTGTTCTCACCTGTGGAGAGCATAGGTGGTCTCTGATGTAAGCAAAGATCTGTAAGCTACTCTCCTCAAGGACATTCTCAATGTAATGGCCAGTGAACGGTCTGATGTGGGGCTTCCCATGAGACACCTGAGAGCTTCCTAAGCAAGTAGCAATAACGGGAAGCTTGATGCCAGAGAGCTGGCAAAGCCTGGGTCCTTGATAGGCTGGATCAAAGCCATTTCCAAGACTCCCACCCACCCAGGTGCTTGCCCCTGACTTGATGACAGACAGATGGCCTTGAGTTTGATTTCCAAATGGACCATGTACCTGTGGGGTGACAGGGCACAGGGCACTCGGTCTCTCTGGGCTTGGTTTCTCCATCTGTAAAATGGAGATCATGGCACCCACAGAGAAAAACTGTTGAGAGGACTGGAAGCAATGTAATCACCTGGCACATTGAGGTCAGCTCACGGAAGAGGCTTGCTTCCGTCTTCTCTCCATGCTCTCCCACTTCCTCCTCCTCGATCTCCTTGGTAACCATTGTTGACTGACCGGCCTCTGAACGTTATGGCAGGATAAGGGATTCCTACCCATAAATGTCTGTGAGGGACTTACTCCACTTGCCCATACCTCATCCACGCATCCACTTATCCATCCATCCATCCATCCATCCATCCATCTAATCCATTACTCTCCCATGCATCTGCCTACCCGCTCATCCCTCCCCAACGTCAACCAGTATGGAGGAGGCCCCTTTTGTGTAAGACTCTGAGCTGGCATGCAGCATGCAAATTTAAGCCAGACACAGCCTCCATCTTGGAATACCTCGGGGACTTGAGATGGGGAGAGGGCCATGGTGTGTCAGGAACTGACGTGGTGCAGAGGCTGGGAAGCACTGCTGTTTGTTGCCGCAAGATGCCCTTCCTGTCCCCCCACCCTCCCCACCTCATGGGTAGCTCCTCCTCTGGGATGAGTAAGTACACTTGGGTTAAAGATGGTTTCTAAGCTTGGGGCTGAAGGAACTACTATTCCTCCCTCCAATGTTGCTCTGCGGACAGTATGAAGATCACTAATCCCCAGCTGCTGGAACTAGGCCTTGTGCAGAGCCCAGATGGTCATCGTCTCTATGTCACCATCCCTCTGGGCATAACCCTCAATGTGAACACGTGAGTGGGCCCCAAGGGGGATGGGGGGGTGGCTCACCAGAGGAGACCCTGGTAACTGTGGGTAGCCACAAGGGCAATGGGGCGGTGTGGGGGGGGTGCTGGAGTCTGAGAGACATGAGCCTTCAGCTCAGATGCAGACACAGCAAACTCTCCTCTGCAGGCCCCTGGCCGGACGTCTGTTAAAGCTGGCTGTGAAACTAAGCATCACCGCACAAGTGCTAGCTGTGAAAAACGAAGAGGGGAAAATTCACCTGGTTCTTGGTGACTGCACTCACTCCCCCGGGAGCCTGCAAATCTCCTTGCTTAATGGGTGAGACCAGAGGGCTGGCTTCTCCTGCCCAGAAACAATATCAGCAGGAGGATGGATGGCTGCTGGGAAGATGGAATGATGGGAGTATACATGAGGGGGAGGACGGAAGGGTGGGAAGATGAATAGGAGGGAGGGAAGATGAATGGATGGATGGATGGATGGATGGATGGATGGATGGATGGATGGATGGATGGGTAAATAGCCACTTATCTCTTCTTAGCCTGGGCTGACCAATTTTGTGCTCGTAGGCCATAAAAAGATCTGAGTTCAAGCCTAATGACCAGAGGGGCATGTGGAAAGGTGGAGCGGTTCTTGTGTGAACTTGGACAGGGCTTCCCCAGCGAGAGTCTCAGCTCTCTCAGACACCTGTAATACGGAGCTACGCTGCAGTTCTTGAGTGAATCCGCTAGGATAATAGTTGTGAAAGTCCTCTGTCCCAGTATGAGGGAAAATAGCTCTGTAGCCTCCCTGGATTCCTTATTTCAGTTAGCCTGTCACAGGGCAGAATAAGTCATGCACGAGACATCGGAGTCCTCCCACCATGGTTAACGTTTACTAAACATATATATTGTGTTTCACGCATATCATCTCGAGTCCTCATGACAACTACATACCAAGCATTGTTCATCCATTTATAGATTCTACAAAGTCTCCCTGAATACCCACTGTATACTGGAACTAAGTGTTTATGCTACACATACCCACAGTGGGCACTGCTGTGTAGGGCGCCACTCCCTTTGGACAGGCCCCTTCCGGTTCGCCTGCACAAGGGTGTGGGTAGACAAGGCCCTATTTCAGTCACTTAGCATTGAGACCAATGTGGGCATAGTAGCCCCTCTGAAGGCCTCTCCACACCAACCCTAGGCCTCTGCACCGCCCGCTGGATTTTCTCTTTCAGATTTGCTCCCCTCCCTGTTCAAGGCCTTGTCAATGGTGTCGGCAGCATCTTGAACCAAGTCCTTCCTGGGCTAGTACAGGGCGAGGTGAGTGGGTAAACATGGCAGCTCCTGATCCTTGGGTCTCAGAGCTTCTCGGGCTGAAAGAAGCCCCTGAAGTAAGACAATCTGAACCCCTCAGCTTGATATGTATATTCCATCCCTCAGTCCATCTGTCCACTGATTCATCTACCCATGTTTCTTCTTTCCAACCTTCAAAATGCCTCCATTGGGTCCTGCTCTGGGCCAGGCCCTGTGCATGGCCACATTACAGCTGAAATGGCTTGGCCCTGGCCCCCAGAAGTTCCCAAAAGGCTGTAGACAGGCGCTCTTCCAGCCTAGACTTGGGTGCCTCCGACACCCAACCCAGAAACACACCCCTCCCGGAGCAGCCCACCCTATTTAGAAACAGGCGTCACATCCCACAGCAAACACTGGCTCCGTGTGAGACTGGGCACTGAACATACATGCCTTCCACTTCTCCTTCCACCTGTGTGAATGTATAAGTGTCCATCTGTGACACTGCTTCCAACCAAACTCTCTCAGCCACAGAAGAATGACAGAAATTCTCCCCCAAAGAATCCATCCTGGGGTTGCCGCTCCCAGAGCCACCCTCCAGGTACCACTTTGCCAATGCCTCTCTCTGCCCCTGGCTCAGGTGTGCCCTCTGGTCAACGAGGTTCTCAGTCAGCTGGATGTCACCTTGGTGCATTCCATTGCTGGTAAGTCCCCTATCCCGAGGCCTCACTCCCTTTTCAGAAGCAGTGATTTCCCCCAAGGAACTCTGTCCCTGCACACTGTAGGAAAGAACTAGATCCTTCCAGTCTCAGCTCTCCCCATTTCAGGGTTCTTTTTTGCCTTGAACTATCCAGATAATGTTGAGGGCTGGGCCCTGCCTTCCCCCCGCCACATCAGCCCTGACACTGAGAGCAGCGGAGCTGGCTGGTGGAAGGAGGTCCTGCCCTGCCAAGCTTCACCTAAGATTGGTTGGACCACCCGAGTTCCCGTTCCCCAGCCCCCAGCTCAGGGGAAGTGTGGGACATCCCTCAACTCCTGCACCCTGAGATCACCACTCTGGTCTGCACTTTCCAGACTTACTGATCCATGGGCTGGAATTTGTCATCAAGGTCTAAGCCTTCCAGGAGGGACCCAGCGTCTGTTGAACTGGTGAGTGCTGTTCCCCAGGATTTGGGTGTTCTCCTCCTGGCAGGAAGCAGCGGAGGGCTTGGGACAGTGACATCTGAAGAGAGAGATTAACAGCCACACAGACAGGCACAGAGAGACACATGAAGAAGTCTACGGAAATGCTAACAGAGGTGGAGACACAGGCAGCACCCCACGTAGCTACAAAGAGAACACACATGACTGTGGACACACACACACACACACACACACACACACACACAAGGGACATGTGGATACAAAGACACACACTCAAACATATGCACAACAAGCTCCCTGGCCCAGGCCTGGGGTCCCCTTGGGGCTGAGACAAGCCCCCCCACCTCCCAGCCTGAGGTCTCAGCCCCCTCCCCTTCCTCTGGAGGGCAGGTTTGATGATGCGCCAATACCAGTAAGAGTCAGTGACCTTGAGTCTCCATTCTGATCGGGGCTTCTCCCAACAGAACCATTTCCTGCGGCTCAATCCACTCTTCTCAGCTGCTGAGGGCTCACGGGAGGCAGACCCATGTCCTGGACAGTGACACGGCCACTATTTGGGGACCAGAGCAGCCTTCTCTCCAAGGAAACTGCTCTCCCCCACTCCGCCACCAGGCATGTGTTGCAGCCCACCTTCCTCACCAAATAAAGTTGCTCTTTCTCTGCACCGGGGGCCCTGTCATTCTTCACCATCATTCGAGGGCTAATGTTTTGGAAAGAGCCCTGGCCTGGGTGGCTGGGGCCAGTGAACCGAGTTCGGACCTTACACTGTAGAACCTTATGGTCTTAAGCTGGACGAGGAGATGTTCAGACGAGTAGGCGTTTCGGACTGCTCTGGGGTGCCTAGGAGGGGTGGACAAGGGGTTGGGGGTAAATGTGACCTTCCAGGCAGAGATGATGACATAAGTCCACCACATAAGGAGTGAAATGGCAGATCTGAGAGTTGTTCAGGAGTGGGCCTGGGCGTGGGTGAGGGAGCAGGTGAGGTGTGGGTTGCTGTCCATGTCGCAGGTGGGGGAGCCTCAAGGTAACTGGGGATGTGGGAGGATGAGCTAACTCTGGCAGGAAGATGATGCCTTCAGCTGTGGCCGTGCTGCATGGAAGTGCCTGGGAGCCCCAGGGGAGACATCCAGGAATCCGATGGATAAAGAGGTCATCCGCCACTCCTCTTTGGCTCACTGGCATCCAGTCATACTGACTTCTTTTCTGTTTTCTCAGCAAGAGGATGAGAAAGATGACAAACAGGAAGTGTAGGAGGAAGGACAAATGGGTCCAAGACATAAGAGTAGACACAGAGAAGGGTCGCTGGAGAAGCGTATAATAAGGTTATTGGTGCCAGGGGTGAGAGTCCTATTTTTGGAGGAAGATGCCTGATTTTGGGGGGAGACAAAGGGATGAAAGGAAGTTGAGACTGAATGCAAATAAGATTTATGAAAAATTGGAGACAAGAATAAAGAGCAGAGCTACCCAAACTGGGAGAGGTTGTTCCCTCAAATAAAAAACTAAATATGCTATCATTGTTTGAGGCCCTTAAAAGATTAGCCCCACCATTTCACTCCACAGATGAGAGCACTGAGGCCTTGACATATGTATGTGAATGATTTGCACAAGTTACAGTATGACAAAAAGATACATCAAGGACTGAAACATCCCAGACGTCACAGAAAACCTTGTCCCTTGTGTTCTGGGAGAACCCACTGACCTTGTGAGAATGAGCAGATTCAGGCTGGTGTTTCTCAACCCCCATCAAACATCTCTCATCGTGTCCAGACCGACCACTGTCCCCACCTCCTGTGGTCACTGGCCAACCTGGCATTGTGGGAAGACAGTCCTACAATTCAGAACTGGGAGGTTTATTGTAGGAAACCAGCACCTGTGTTCTGGTGAGAGGGAGGGAAGGAAGCATCTTCCACGTTCACAGAAGTGGAATATCTTTGGGCTCAGGATGAATAGTTATATTTCATAAGCAGCTGAATGGTCATTGTGAATGTCTGTCTACCTAGTCGGTGACCTGAAGCACAGAAGGGCCTTCCAGACTGGAAACTAACAATTAGGACATGACTGGGTTTGAACAGAGTCTAGGCATGAGTTACTCTCAAGTCCTTTCTTGGGACTTAGGCCAGGCATTAGGTCAATACTGAGCATCCCCCTTGGCTGAGGTCCAAGAATCAAGCTGAATAGGGACAGGGCACACATGCCTTGTACCGTCAGCCCGGGTCCTGCTGCCCTCTGACCGTGGCACCCAACTGCCTTCCTGTTGGGACACACATCCACTGCTCGTCTCTGAAAACTATTTTCCCACTGCTCCCCTGGACTTCTTCCTATAGCCTAAGAGGGGTCTTTCCCCTCTGCCAACAACTTCAATTTCTAACTAACTAACCTAAATACAAAATAGTCTGACAGGAAGCCAGGTCAATCAGAACAGATTCATGGCTTTTAACTAATGACAACATTTTGACATTTTAAAAACTTTCTAGAAGGATGTCAGTGATAACGGCACATGAAAGACCTCTGAAAATTCTCTCCTACAGGAAAGCAATGAGAAAACTACCCCCCCAAAAACTGTTAGAAACAGCTTTTCCAAAACTCTCAAAATTCACCAAAGGCTTGCAACCATCTGGGGTGAGCTTATTCAGTAAAAACTGCTGAATCTTGGTAAGAACAGTGAGGTTTGTGGTGTTTTAATTTACCTTAGTCCCATCTCCCACTCTCCACAGAAGACTTGAAAACCCAAAGCCCACAATCTTAGTGAAAATCAGTAGCCTGGAAGCCTCTGGAGACAGGCAGAAGAGTACTGGAACAACTTCAGAGCCTCATTCCCAGAATACTGTCATGATTTGATCTGCCTTGTTAGTTTCCTGGAAGATCTTACTCTCCAGGCTGTCCTGACTTTGGACTCAGAGTTCACCCAGCAGAAACAGCCTCTTCCCCAAGGACATTTGTCAAAATGATAGACAGATCTTAAGACTGCGAGTTTCTAACTCTCCAGCCAGTCTACACTCAAGCTTCGGCAATTTGTCATAATTACACTTGAGGTGTTCCTACCCAGCAGCCCCTGCTTCCGGTAAGCTGATCTTGGCTGTAATTCTATGTGTTCACCTATCTCTCTAGACCTGCAGATGGCAGTTTGCCCTATGACCTCAGTTCTCTGATAGGCCTAAGAGAGTTGCTGATTGTCCATGCTGAGCTCTTTTCTTGTTATGAGGATGGGAGTGACAACCTCCAAGCTCTTTACATGTTGGTGCTGAAAAGGGAAGTCTGGTTTTTTTTATAGTTTTTACCAGTTATATTTGTTTCCCTAGAGGATGAGCCCCCAGAGCGCCATCTGGAAAGTGAGACTTGGTTGAAAGTTGTCAACCACTATTCCTTCAAATTTATTTCCCGCATAATTCTCCTCTCATTCTGAGACTCTCACGGCATGGATGTAGATCTCTCATTATAGACCCACTGGTCCCTGTTCATTTCTTTCAGCTGTTCTTCTTCCCCTTACTCAGACTGGATCCATCTCCAATGTGTTGTTGCACCAGACACTTTTAACGTTATGTTATGAGACTCTGGATCTTGCTTAAATCCTACAGAGAATGGGGGGTGGGGGTTGGCTTAGCGTGCAAATGACCCAGTTAGATTCAGGCTAAGCCAGTTAGGTTCAAGTTCTAACCTGCCTTCTGCAGGCTGTGTTTTTAAACAGGGGATTTCTGCTACTGTCTTTACTCTTAGGGGCCCCAGTTCCTGCTTTTTGGATCAGAAAGAGAGGACTTCTCTTGGAGCTTTTTGTATTCACACCTGTGCACAAAGTTCCATGCTTCACACTGCCTTTGAGTCCAGGATGAAAGATATGGGAGGGATAAAAACCCAGGAGACTCACCTGTGGATCACTCATTCTTTCAGTGATGACTTCCTTCCTCGGTCCACCTGCCACCATTCATTGTTCAGACGCCTCAGAGAGCCCCCCTCCCCCATTCACTGTGTCCAGGCTTTTAGTTTCATTCCACAGGAAAGACAAGTAGAGGAAGCTTCCTCCATCCGCTTCAACTCTCCAATCTGCCAAACACGATGGCTTATGGCAGATGATGGTGGGCTATCAGTAACTTGACCAAGTGCCCTCCTGGTCACAGCAGCTTTACTAGAACAGTGGAATGCAGCCTCTGGTACTCGGTATGTAGTTATTTATCTGGAAAATGTGTTCTTCTCAGTCCTCATCAGATAACCACTTAGGAGGCGATTTGCGCTCACTTGGGATGGACGATGGAATACAATCAGTCTTGCCCCTGCTCTCTGTCACAAAATATAGTCTGAAGGGGTCCTCTCATGTTCATGTTCTTGCTACTATTTCTGTGTCGGTTACACCCCAAGATTAAGTGGCTTAAATAGCAGTATTCATTTCATGATGTTCCGTGGTTTCCGTGGGTCAGAAACTCAGGAAGGCTCAGGGTGAAGCCCAGGCTCGTATTCTCTGCAATTGCAGCTTTACTTGTAGTCACTTCTTTAACCCTCCACACAACCCTTTGAGGGAGGTACGGTCATGACTGGCTTCCACTGACAGAGGCACAGAGAAGCTGAATAAAATCCCTGAAGTCACCAGCTAGGACAGGTGGGGCTGGGGCAGGAGCAAGGCAGCCAGACCCACAGAAGGGAGATCAGCGGAGCCACACTCGGTCCCCATCTACCTCCTCCTCCCACACCCCACTCCACTCCCCAGCACGATCCCACGGCCCCCACAGGCATTGCAAGGAGAGATGGAAAGAGCAACAGCGGACTCATGTTGAGCCCCAACTCTGTGCCAGGCTCTGCTCCAAGCATTCGTTGTAGATTAATTTCATTAATCCAATAGCCCTGGAGGGCCATGTTATTATTGCCAAACTTCACAGATGCAAAGCCTGAGACACAGAGATGGAGTCACCTGCCCAAGGACACACAGCTGGTAAGCGTGGAGCCAGGATTCAAACTCAGGCTGTCTAGTTCTGAGGCTCTGTCTTGTCTCTAGAGAAATTCACCTACAGCCCTTGGGGAGAAGAAGTAGCGCACCCCCCCACCACCGCTAAAGAAGCATCAAAGAATTTCTGGGAGACAATTTTTTTTAATTTTTTGATTTTTTTATAAACATATAAGGTATTTTTATCCCCAGGGGTACAGGTCTGTGAATCACCAGGTTTACACACTTCACAGCACTCACCATAGCACATACCCTCCCCAACGTCCATTGTAGGGAGACAATTTAAAGTGGGACATTGAATAAAGGTAATGGTGGCTCCTATGCGGCAGAAGTTGTAGAGGTGAAATGTGAGTGACTGGAATCTAGGGAGCTTGGGGACCCGTCCTGCAGCACCTGACTAGCCTGGCTGCTGGATCCCCTGAAGTCCCCAGGATCCTAGCCTTGCGCCAGCGCTCACACGTCCTGTGACCACTAGGAGGCGCTGCTGCAAGGCAAGCCAGCGGTCACCCTGAAGCTGTAACATTTACTCAGCACCTTGCTAAACCCTTTCAACGCAACATCTTATTTAATCCTCACAGAGATGAAACCTCTAAGGCTCAAGATCACAGAGCTTATGACCAGTGGATCCAAGATTTGAATCCCAGAATTCAAACTCTAGAGCCCAGGTCCTTTGCCAAGGGTTGCAAATTCACCAAGACTCCAGCCAAATCTGGTATATTGTTTTTCATTTTAAT